TTCTTATTTATATTTAAATGCCTACACAATTAATTTCTGTTAGAGTTAGGGTAAGGGTTAGGTTTATGGTTAGGGTTAGGGTAAGTGTTAGGGGTAGGGTTAGGGTAAAGGTTATGGTTAGGGTTAGGGTTGGGGTAAGGGTTAGGTTTATGGTTAGGGTAGGGGCTGGGGTTAGGGTTCGGGTAAGGGTTAGGGTAAGGGTTAGGTTGGGATAGTGATATCGCATGTAAAATGCCCCAAGTTTCTGTCTCATGGGAGGCGTTCGAGTAGGCATTTAAATATAAATAAGAACATATGTGCGCTACCAAGGAAACTCCTGCCGGCAGTAGTATGCATTACTATTAAAAACTAAAAACACCTGAAAAACCGTCAACGTGTGTCTCGTTCGTGTATGATAAATGTCTCTTATCTTTGTAGGCTCATTAGCTCAAAAGGATCCCATCTGGTAGGCCTATTATGTTAGAATCGGAAAGCAAGTAAGGTCATTACACCGCAGTAGAGCCTTCAAATTTGTCGAAGACAACACGAATACAGAGAAGAACAATTTAGATAGAATGGCCGATAGAAAGAAACCTATAAGATATTACTCATAGGTAATAAGTAAATTGGCGCTGGTAGTTAGCTTTGTCCCCAGAGCCTTCTTAGGCAAGTTACACCTAATATATTAGTATATGTACTGTAAATTAGAAGAATTAGGCGCTCACCTGTCCTGAATGGCGTTGATGTAAAGATTCACAAACCATGTCAATGAGTACTGGTACATGGGATCGATGTTGGGCAGATCGGCAATTGAAAAGAAGAGAATGGCCGAATGCTTGGCTATCGGAGAATAATCCATTCGAGCTCCATCAATTTTCTTTTGGGTATCTTCTGCCACCTATAAGGCAGAGTACTTGTTTTTTCACTAACAGAGGCAAATACTTGAGCTTCAGATGTGTGTTGAACTAAGACAGAATGGGATGAGTCAGCCAGTGGAACAACTCGCTCACTGGTCAGAGCCTTCACACGCGCACAGTCATTCATTCGCAAGTTTGCAAAAGTCGGGAAAGGTAGATGTAGACTGGATATGCCACATTTTCAACTAAAACAATCTTAGTTTACAGTACTTAACCTTCAAAAACATATTCTAAACGGCGATTAGTCAACCAAAATGCTGTAAAGCCGTTTATTTTTTCGCTAAGTAGTATCTCTAAAAACAGATCTACAGTATATTCCATATCAAATGGAAAATAAACCGAAATTGTGAAATGCAGTATTGATTCGAACAAATACTTTAAGTGGATTTTTAATATCGACTTTTATGCAGCCTAATATCGATAAATTTGTGTCACGTCAGAATGCATGCGATTGAGCAAGCTGTTTTCCAACCGCCTGCGAAAAACCTACTCTGTAAAAATGGCTACTTAAGTAGTGCGCATTTTTCTCATTAATTTTTAATTCGCTCAGAAACTCAATTATATTTACTCGAAAATATGCACAATAATATTATTTCTTGTACTCATTTGGTAGCAAATTACACCCTTATAATATTTGATGCGTGAAGAAGGGGTAGCTTTTAGTTAAAAAACTTTCTAAATTGCCATAGTTTTGGACCCTACCGTCCGTTATACCTCTACTCCAGATTACAAAATTATTTGCTGTATACATTCCCTCCAAGGAAAATCACACATCTATAAGAAGGAGACTGAACAGTACTCACAAATTTTGGAATGCATGTAGACTGCGTTGTAGACTTTATAGACGACATTAATAAATTGACAAATTCGGTTTATTGTGAATGGAAATTTCACGGCCTTAAAAATTGCATAATTCGGAACATTTTAAACCGGAGAATACTCGTTTTTCAAGCATAAAATGTACAAAAACACAATTTGCTACTAAACGAGTAAAAGAAGGAGTATTTTTGGATCTTTTCTAGGGAATATATTTGAATTTCTAAGGGCATTGGAAATAAATGAGGAAAATGCATACTACTTTGGTATCCATTTTTAAACATATTATGCATTTTTCAGATAGAATATCGAAATTCTGACGTAAATGAAATATTTTGGGATTACGCCACACGAAAATCAATAATCAGGTAGTGTGTTCCAATTGAAAACGCATTTCAGAATCTCGGTTGACATTTCATGAAATAGGGTGCCTACAGAAATACAGGGTGTCCCAAGAAAATGTATACACATTTTAATTATTTGTAAAATATGTGTTTATCATAATTTTATTATTAAATAAATGTAAAAGTATTAACAAGTACAATTTTATTGTTTTTT